AGGGAGGGAAATAAAAATAAGGCGAAGAAAAGAGGCACGTAGTTGTGCTGTGGAGAGAGGCACAGAAAAAAAAAGCAGACTCCCTTTTCACACGTTATAAACTTTGTGGATGGCATAACGTGGGGGGTAACCTGTTCCCAATTACATTTGCCCGCGTATCATTCTCTTGGTCGCCATGCGGAGAACAACAAAAATGAGTGCCCAATAACAAGAGCCCCTGCCCCCCCCTCGCACATCCTGTTTAAAATGAACCCCGTCGTTTTACTATGTTCCTGGTACCTCTTTGGCTTAAGTATAGGAACAGACTTTGTTTGTTCTTGTTCTACTACACCGAAGAGTGAGGGTCCAGGAAGTTCGGTGATGTCCAAATTGAGGGACTTGTTTGGAACGAAACAGCAAGAAAGGGAAAGGAACATTATAACATATAAATTTGTAAAGCACACATGTGAGGAGAAAAGTCAAGGCAAAAATGACAAGAACCAAAATGGAAATGGGTTTGAAGTGTCTCATGTGAATAGGCTAATTTACATTAACGAATTGAAAACCTTCATCTTGGGTGCATACATACCATATATATATATGAGTGTGAGGGACATTTATATAGTGTTGAACAAAATAAAGGAGTTAAATTTTAATACAGTATATACCTTTTTGTTTTGGCCTGAAAATGAATACTTGGAAGATTTTTATGATACAACCAAGTCGAAGCTTTTCTACTTACTAAACTTTTGTGCATCCAATGGGCTATTTGTTATATTAGACATAGGGCCCTACATAGACAATATATATAACTCGAATATTCCCACTTATGTTTTGTTCAGCAAAAAATTGAATGAGTATATTAGGGATGTGTATAAAGAAAAGGAAAGGAAAAAAAGTATATTTACAAAAAGAATTGGAGATTACTTATTTTTGAATCTTTTTGGAAAGGGAAGGAGTGTGGTCGTAAGTGAAGATCCTGAAAATGTGAAAAGGGAAGACATAGAACATGAAATAGGTAGGAAGAAAGCTTCTTATACAAAGGGATATTATACATACAACAATATATATAGCTTGTATTATTTTCAGAGGGCTATAAAATGGTTTAATTACATTCTTCCTCGTTTGAAAAAATATTCCAACATAAATAATGGACCAATTATCTACCTGAACATTGACAAGACATTTGATAATTATTACATGTACGTAATTATAAATTTGAAGCGCAGGAATTATTTTAAAAACATATGCAATGTGGAGAGCTATTTTAAGGGTTCCAAATCGGAAGGGGAATCGTTTTTAAATTGTGTCCTTAATTTTTTCAAACGGGTTAAAAGGAGCTACATACTTACACTAGGGTATATTTTGTATGCTAGGTTTAACCAGTATATGAGAATTTTGAAGGAGTACGAATTAGGGTTGATGTACATTAACGAGATTTACAAATTGGTACAATTGCATTTCGGAAAAATTAACACGCTGACGACAAACTACCCTTATATTAAAGAGGAATTTATTAACTCTTATGCAGGGAACAATTGCTACAATCATTTTTTCCATAACAACTGGTTTGACAATGAGTGCATAAAGTTGAACAAGCCTTGTATCTGGTCACAGGTCTGGACTGGTGCCAAGTACAGCATACATAATGTTAACTCGCCTAGCATTTTGAGACGACACTTCCAGGACCCCATCGTGTATGATTCTTCCCCGTCGATCGTGTCCCCGGTCAGCGAACTGCTACCGCGCGAGAGCAGGAACTTTAATCTCGACGAGGTAAAGCAACCCCCCACGGGGCGCGAAGCGGGGGACGAAGCGGGGGACGAAGCGGGGGACGAAGCGGGGGACGACACATTAGACGAAACGCTAGACGACACGGGACATGCCGCAGACCAGGAGGACCTTTCTGAAGACTCCTCGGAGGACGCCCCCCAGGGAGAAATTCACGTGGGCGTGAAAAGGGTCCAGAACCGATACAGCAGCAACAACTACATTGGCCACATAAGAAATTTCAAGGATCTGACGTACAATATATTAGTGTTCCTAGCTAAGGGAGGGGTGTTCCTCAACATATTCCCCTTCTACAGTGGCAATAACATAAACAACACGCACACGTACTTGGAGCACTACAGCAAGGAAACGGGACAACCCCTCGACCTGTACTTTAACCAGAAGGAACCTCTATACTCACACATTAAGAAGATATTCAAAATTTTATACAAATATGGGCACCACTTACTGAAAAGTGAATACTACATACGGCCAGTGAAAATTTCCACGAACATTGAAATGTACGACTATAACGTTATTAAGATCATTTGCAACCACAACATTAAGGGAAGCACCTACGTAAAGGTTGGGCCTCTGAATTACAACATCAACAGCTTTAGCTGCATTGTGTATAATGAATATAAGAAGAAAATTATTTACGATTCTTCCTTCAATTACAATTACGAAGTGTCGTTTATTAATAGAAAGGAGGTGTACCCCCCAATTGACAAGTATCTGTACTCCCTGAACGCTGCGACGTCTGGCCCCTTGATGTGTATGAGGGAGGACAAAAGGGAGGGCATAAAAAGTGGCACAGGGGGAGGATTGCTTCCGAAAAGCGTTGCAAAGCATATGAAAAATTTTCCGAATTTCTTCTCAAATAACTACTTACACCGTGTACACGAAATTAACGTACTTAACCACTTTTATTTGACTCTCGATTTTACAAAATTCCAGTGGTACATAATTGCCATGAGAGATGACGTGAACTATGTGAAGTTGTTCCTGAGTAATTACAGCTTTTACGTGTACGTGTATGCGGATGGTAAGTTTATTTACGGTGGGTTTAACGAGTACAAGTATATCGAACTACTGAACGTGAAGAAGGTCTACATTATTTGCGCAAATCTAGGTCTGGGCTTCCCAAAGGAGAGCATCAGAACGGATTTCCTGAACCACATAAATTTGAATGATTTAAAGAAGGATTATTTTTTTTTTCAACATGGAGCTAGCCAAAATGAAATAAAAGAAAAAAAAAAAAATATAAATGAAAACGCCAAAGTGGATGAACAAAATGGCTACTTAGCCCTAAACACACACACACAATCCGGGGAAAAGAAAAAAAAAAAAAAAAAAAAAA